CTTTCGTCTTTGGTTGGCATTTTCGAAATTATGAATACTAGCTTTTTCTCTTTGTATTCTTTGTATTTGTTTTTCTGCATTTCTGATTCTTTCGTCAATTTTCATGGCTTCTTCAATGTGGCGTGATGTGATACTGTAGTCGTTCTTGTACCCTGTTATTTACTGATCTTTTTGATATTCTCATACACACATTGACTAGAGAGGTCATATTTTTCATTTTTGATGTTCCATTGTGATTAATTTTTACCTCAAATTTCATTAGTAAAAGTTGTCATCTGTCTATGAAGCTAGTAGCGAACAGTAGAAAAAGCCTTCTTGATGAGTCTTACATATTTTCTTGCTATCTTTATCGATGTCAGTGCTCAAGAGGAATTCTTTGAATCATACCCTTTCGAAATGTTATATGATGGAATTGGTCGATACTCGATAAAAATTCATAACTAACGATTTCTTTCGATATGTGGTGATTCGATAATTCATTGATCTCACTTCAGACCTATGCTGTACATATAGACTAACACAACATTTCTTTTTCTTCAGGCGATGGAACTAGCTTGACAATGGACGAAATCGTTGCCCAGAGTTTTGTTTTCTTCATTGCCGGATTCGAAACGAGTTCAACCACAATGACTTTCGCACTGTATCAGTTAGCTACCCATCCCGAAATTCAAGAGAAAGTTAGGAGCGAAATAAATTCTGTGCTGGAAAAACACAACAACCAAATCACGTATGATGCACTGAATGAGTTGAAGTATATGGGAAAGGTAATCGATGGTAAGTTGGACAAACAATATTATTTTCAGCAAAATTTTCAAAACGGTTATTTTTCTGAACTCATGTTGTTTTACAAGTAACTCAGTTTTTAAGTGTACCGTAAAGTTTTCAAGGAATATAATAATAATAATATATTAATAATAATTTATTCTCCTCTTATTTTACATTTTTGTACATACACATGACACAGTGCAGAAGATAAGCGGGGAAGGGGAATAAATCCAAAAATTAACTTCAGTAATGTCTCAAAACTGTAGATGGGCAAACGAGGAGAAAATTTCCCCAGAGAAAGCTGAAGGAGAATAGGACTAGTTTTTTACCAATTCAACAAATTATTGATTATATTAAATTATTGGAGTATATCTGACAGGTGTCAGTGCAAGATTTTTCACTGAAGTTATTCCCGTATATGCTGTTGGAAATACAACTGCCGGAATCGATTTTCAATTATTCTAACACAGACCGGTTTCGGGCTATTTAGTCACTCATCAGTGCAAGGTAGTGTCCATCATCAACATGAATTCGATAATTAAAAATCGAATTCCTTTCAGAGTATCATTCCTCGAACTAGGTTGAAGCGAACGACGAACAATATCAGTGTTACTATCTTCATTCGGGTTTGAAGGCCGTCGTAGTTTGGAACTGCATCCAAACGTTTCGCCAGCATGAATGGCTGGCTTCTCCAGAGGTTGATTCATCTCGATGATTCACCGATGTCATCGGTGAATTTTGAAGATGGTAACATTGAAAATTTCGGCCGCGAAAGCCTTAACCACTTTGACAAACAATTTATTTGTCATCGCCCCATCTGAAGTGTTACTTAAATAAATCGACAGTAAATTTTTGATTTCAGAAACTTTGAGAATGTATCCGGCTCTTCCAGTAGTCACCAGACGATGCGTGGAAGACTACCGAATACCTGATTCGGATGTTATTATAGAAAAAGGCATTGAAGTTTTCATTCCTATCAAAGCAATCCACTACGATCCAGAGTATTATGAAAATCCTGAAGTTTTCGACCCCGAAAGATTCAACGAGGAAAACATTCAAGGAAGGCATCCTTACGCTCATATTCCCTTCGGCGAGGGACCCAGGATCTGTATAGGTAGGGTTTATAATTGGTTCCATAGCACATTTCACCGTGGTTCAGTGTTCATGGCAATAAGTCAAATGGAAACTTTCTTCAACTGGACATGTCCAGTCCAACTAGGATCTATTCTTTTTATCCCAAAAGAATAAGATTCATTCAGATAACGTGTACCTTTGTCTATGCCTGTTAAAGATTCCATCTTCTTTCGACCTACTGACAACTTCGCATAACGAAAAGGAAGAAATTTTCGAGCGTTTCGTTTTATTTTTAACTGCCGACAACATACTTACTAAACTATAATTTGGATTCTCACTACCTACCAGTAATGCATACATCCCAACAGTTTCTTGGACGAGAAACGTTAATCCTTGTCTATTCTACGTCTACGTTAATCCTTGTCTGTCTACTTCCTTGCGTTTTCTTTTCACTTCGTTGTATGGATATTTTCCGCTTCCTGGGAGCCGTATGATCTGTCTATTTTTCCCAAGTCCAACAATCTTGTTCTCTTTACTTGACGTATGACATACTCTCCTGCATACGGTTTGAGTGGTCCATATATTCAATTATCTAAAAAATTATTCTTTCAGGGTAGTCTCAACTCACCTACACTATAGGTTAATCGACTGACACCTATCAGATAACAACTACTTCATCAATTCCTCGTACAAGGAAAAAACTGAGCTGATTCTTGCTTTGTTAAAGCAGTTCTTCAGTTTTCTTCTCGGACTGTCCCCATATAAAGGTTTTCCATATGTGTTCCCTGGTATGTTTTCCAGAACTCCCTATGGTTCTTATATACCCATTTCCTAATCTGGTTCTGTACCAACGATTTTGGTACTCCCACAGCTGTTTCTGGACTCACGATGATGTTCCTTGTTTGGCACATTTGTCAGCTTTTTCGTTGCCCATGATACCTGTGTGTCCTGACAATCAGTTTATAGTCAATATATTCCTGTTCGCAGTTTCCCAATATGGATTCTAACCAAGCGATTGTCGTGAAGTATTGCTGTTGAATGGCCGGAGCCAGTTTCTCCATAAGATCTCGTCTACCTCCGGATACTCATAGTTCTCAAGCAACTTCTGGAGGTCAAATAATTTATTCATTACAGCAGACTGAAAAAAGTCGACGAAAACGCAGTATTTTTACGAAGATAACTCGAAACTGAAATGTCTTTTCATTTCGGTTAAAAAATCAAAAGTTATTTTGCTAGAAGCAACGACCATTATATACCGAAAAACTAACTGGATAAGTAGAATGAGAATCAAAAATACTGTCTCTAGACCAAGTTTGCATCATCAGGAGACGAATCAAAACTCACTCTTGATTTACTTAACGAATAACAAGAATTACGGGAAAGCACGAACAAAAAATATTTAGAGATGAACGCAAGTTGGTTAAGTTAGGTTGGGTTTAAGATGCAACACATCAATTCAATAAATTCATCCGAATCTCTTGATATGTTGATTTAAGTGACAGTGACCTATTAGCAGGCCTGATGTAGTTTATTAATTGTATGGTGACATACTTCGAAAGATGTGCAGATGTCTTCCAATGGGCCAATCCGGATAGATTTGTCCAGAAGTCTAAAAACTTTTTTTTGCAGTACCTACTAAGTGCTTGAGAAAAACCTGCTGGTGATAGATCCTGATTCTATTTCCTCCTTGCAAGGGAGTCAGCAACTTCATGACCTTCTAGACTCTAGACTAGTGTGGCCGAAATCCAGATCAAATACAACTCGTCAAATCTTCATAAAGAGAAGAGTTTTCCGGCAGATAGAGTCATTGGCCTGGCAATCATCACATATAATAAATGGATTTGTTTGTGTTTTAAGTCCCAAGATTCTCCACAGATCCTCCAACATATCCATAGGAATAGTCTGGATTTCGAAGTCAAACTTCGAAACAAATGTAAATTAGATAGTTCTTACTTGTATGTAAAGCCGTCTCGCAACCAAAACTATTTGAGTTTACCAACTATTCGGAATCATTATTATGTGTTTTTCCTTAGGTTTGTATCATATTATTTTTTATTTCAATAATAATAATAACATGATATGATAACATGATGGAAAACATATACGTAGGTTATTCTTCACTCAAATGATGAATTACTTTGATGTCTGATGTATAGTAAATATCATCACAAATATATCTTTCATGGCATAACTTTTCAGGGTTGAGATTTGGTGTGATGCAGTCTAAAGTTGGTCTCGTTAGTATTCTCAAGAATTTCAGAGTGACACTCAGCAGCAAAACTAAATTACCTTTGAAAATTGACGTCAACTCTGTTATTCCCACAACAGAAGGAGGAATGTGGCTGAATCTGGAAAGAATTGGTAAATAATGTAACTCGAGATTTTGCACAATCAAGTTTTGAAGATGTTTTTGTTATTGGGTGATTTTGAGTTTTTTTTATTCAAACCTTATGTACTGAAATAAAACATAGACGTGAAAGAAAATATTTTTCTCTATTCATATTCCTAATTCCAAAATAATCAAAGATCATTGTGAGATCATTGTGTAATTCCCCACACCTACCTTTAACTCTGTAACAGTAAATAAACCATACTTTCATTGCCTTCTTTACCAAGGGCAGAATGCATTCATATACAAATAAATATAAACTTGATAAGCCCCCACTACTTGCAGACAGTTGACAGCTAACAGATCCATTGACTCTGGTTTCGACGAATTTCATTGATGAAAACAGATGAAAAAGGGACAACTCAGCTGAATTCTGAAAGCTATTGTGAATTGATCGGTGAAGAAAAATGCGCATTATAGGAGGTATCCTAAATTCATCAGCGAGTCCACTGACTAATCCGATTAATTAATTTTTATTGGTTCATTCGAAACTTCAGCGCGTCCATGGTTGAAGCAATCGGTCGGAAATTTCTGTTGAATTCAAGAACTCGCCTAAATTTGACATGATCACACTGTTACATTTCTCAAGACCGAAGAACAACACTGAGTATGACTCATCGTAAGAAGAAACGCCTGTCACCTATTGCGGTGATTAAATTGTTATTGTTCCACAAATAATGATTTTCACCGCAACAGTGAGCGGAACTAGCGAATAAAATTTATGGCTTTCCCCCACAATAATAATCAGCAGTATTTGTTGTGGAAAAAGTCATTGATACACAACGGTTTTAATAAACAACAATTGTATTGAAAAAATGATAAATCTTAAAGTATATAACCAGCGTAAGGGTTGAAACTTGAAACAGTTTCTAAACTGCCCACGTCGGGTAAGTATCAAAATCCCAGATGAGTGTTCCGTAGAAGGGATATATGCAGAAAAGTACCCCAGCAGCTATAACAATCATCCCAAATCCAACTTTCATCATTTCCCAGGTTGGCATGTTACAGGGTGCAGCAGCAATCGCGTTTGGAGGAGTTGACACTGGCAAACAAAACGCTAATGAACAAGAGAGGGAAGATGGCATCATGAGGAACATTGGATGTAGCTTGGAAATCTGTGAAAAAGTAGTGAAAACTGATGTAGTGATAACTTTATGTTCTTTTGAAGTGACTGATTTAAATAATGAAAAATTGTTTATGTAAATATACGACGGTGATCTGAAAAGTTTCCAACCCAACAAAGACATTTTTCAGTTTTTTTAAATTTTTTATACATAGTTAATTTCAAGGAAAAAAAATAATTTCTGGCCACCTGAATTACGAGAAAGATAATGTTTACTACCGCAGTTATGAATGAAATATTAAGCATAAAACTCTGTAGATCCTGGAAGCCAGACATAATTGTAACAATAGAACCTTCAATAACGTTTATATTACATGGACGCATTGAAGCCCCCCTGAAAGTTACCCTATAAATGATAGTAATCTTTGACTCACCACTGACAAATCTGCCATAACCGGAAGTACTATGGTAGCACAGGCGACATTACTCGAGAAAATCTGCGTGATTACAATTACCGTACAGCACGCGATAATCATGACGTAATTTCTGTCCAAAGAACCGAATTCTCTCAACCATCCCGCGATCATGGCACTCATGCCGCTCTCCTTTGATCCATCCGCCATCGCGAAACCACCCCCCAGCAGGAAGACTAAGCCCCAAGGCATCTTCTGGTTGACGATCTTCCAAGTCAGTAGCGCCGGGGACGCTGTTTTCGGCCTCTTCTGCTCATCCTTGCTGAACGCATATATGAAGTTCGGATTGGATGGAACGAGGAAGAGGATCATGACAACCAAAATGGCTACAGTAGCGTCACCTACCTGAAAATTCGAACAAGCTGGGTTTTATACTCTGGGAGATTGGAGGTGAGCTATGCTGTGGTACTGTGAAGTACTTTAGTTAAAGTACTATTTTACTTAAAATACTCGGTACTTTGGGTACATTAGAACTGTAATTTAAGTAAGTAATTTCATAAAAAAGGTACTGGTATTCGAATAAAGTCATTTTTCCCATGTGTAGAGTACTGGAACTCTAAATAAAAATACTGGCAGTCGGGATCTGAAAATTCTACCTTGGTTCTTTATAAAACTTTTACTTGAAGTACTGGAAATACTTAAAGCAAAGGAAATTTTGGTACTCGTGTAACTAAGACTAATTTTCAATTATGGATTTCAGCTATTTAATTGATATTCATGGCGAGAATCATGACATACCACTAATTTTTCTCAAGTCCAATGTTATCCTCAGATTAAACAATTGAAATTACAACTTTCTGGTCCCTAGAGTTTTTGTGCATGGTTTTCATGAAAAAAAAAGTAATTTCACAGCCACAAAACAAAACATATGTTGAATTTTCTCAAATGTTCTCAGTACTATAATTGCATCAATAGTAGAGCTGAAATAATTTCCCATGTCTTCATTATTTTTCTGACATCCCTTCAATTTATAGGTATAGACTTTTGACTTTTTACTTTTGCTTACTTGAAAGATTCAAAATACATACTGTGTACGTGAGCGCGGGATCATTTTGCCCCGTGCGTGTAAATTATCGTTATAAGTAACGACATGCCAGATCTTTCTACATTCCAGATCTCTTTATATGATGATTCATAAGACAGTGACTTATAAAAATAGGTCTGTTATACAACGTAGGCCAACCCTGCTGCAGCCTAACAATTTTTTGATGAACCTCTTCAAAGCAGGTAGAATCTAGGTAGATTTTTCGAAAAGTTTGGCCATAGGAAGAGTCTGGCTTTGTTTAGAAGATCCAGTTGAATTGTCCAAGTTCCTCCTTCTGCTGGAGGGACTATCACAGTATTGCTGCCTCTGGTACCAACCAACATTGTTCTAAGTTCTTTGGAGGGTATTACAGACTACCCTTCCTGTTTACCCTTTAACTCTGCTGCACCCTGAGTAAGATTATCTTTTCAACTAAGATACCTACCTTTATACTGGTGAAATATTCCACCCATCCTTTGATGAAGCCTGGCTTCCGGAAGAACCACAATAATATAGAGAGCACGAAGCATATTCCTACGGATATCTCATGGGCAGACATTTGACCAAGTTCTTCTATATGGTCCCTGATGACACCTTTGGCTATAAGTCGTCCTTCTGGTCCTACTTCAACTTTCTTTGCGTCTTCCGATTTGGGTCTGAAAAGTCCCAGGAAATAAAACTGAAACCATACCACTCCGATAATCATCGTTATCAACATTATCGGAACGTTCAGTATCATCCATTTATCAAATTCCACACCTGAAAATAGGAGGTTTATGATTCATACTCACAGTCAAGGCGGAGTATTAAAAAAAGGTAATTCAATTCCTTGGCAAAAATCATATTATTTCAATGTTTGAACTCTTGAGACTTGACTACTGAAACAGGTTGCAAAAATACAATAGGGTGAGGCTGCAGTCTTTTCTATGAGCCTAGTGTTAATATTCGACATTGACTAGAGAAAACGATTTCCCCACTATAGAACAACACCGTCCCTTGATACGCGTTTCGGAATGTAGGCTTCCACGGCTGAAATAGGACCTTCTTCGTTGTTTATAGATCTTATTCTACATTTTTCGAGTTTCAAACTTTCAGAGATGTCTAGAAGTATGTTGTCATGTATCGGTCTCAACAATTTCAAACATTTTTTCGTTATTTGTGCTAGTTTTTGAAGGAACGTTGAGTAACAATAGACTTCTTTGGTCTACGAAACCTAGTATGTGTAACATGTTCTTTGAAACCCCTTATTATGGTTTGCTTAGTTTGACCAACATACGTTTTATCGCAACCCTCACAGCTTATTTCGTACACGGAGCCAGTAAACTTTGAGCATGTTTGAAAGATGCGCGTGCTGTCAGCTATTTCCTTGATACGTTTTTTTCGCGATGCCATAAACTGTGGGTTAGTCTATATTAAAACAGTCAATTTGTCTCGTATCATAATTATGTACCATTTTATTTTTTATGAATTTATATTCAAGTAAACTTTTCGTGTATGAATATTCATATTCGCATTTCATCGGGAATTTTAATATACAACAGTTCAGTTGATTTATGAATATTCATAGTAGGTTCCAGTTATGATAATTGAAGATTACATTTCATTACTTTTTTTGCAATATTTTTGGAGGTTTCAAACTATTTTGGGTGGCAATGCTCCAAATGGGGTTAATATAAGTAAATCTAGGGTATGTGGAATATAGCTACTTTTCAAACAAATTGGTCGACTTCAGCTTTTGGATCTTCTGAGAAAATCGCTAAGATACTTTAAGCTCTAACTTTATTACTTAATCTCACCTGGACTATCAGGAAATCGAGCTTCATAGAGCCCTTTGAAGGCTAAATTCGTCCCTGAACCAATAACGCATCCACTTCCTCCTATTGAAGCTGCGTAGGCTGTTGATATGAAATAGCACATCGTTATTTTTGTGGGTCTTCTCTTATCCTGTTCATCTTTTTCCAGATCTTCCTCGGGAGCGGTTATCTGTTCAGATTTATCTTGTTTCTCGAACATATCTATAACGCCTTCTCTCTTTCATGAAAGTAGCGAGAACCGAGAAGAAATATTATTTTACGAATATAAAGCTCAAGAGAATTTGTCAAATCGCCAAGTTTTTTTTCAACGAGAATTTGAACATAAAGGTATTCAAACCATTGAAATGATTAACATTTTCAAAAAGAAATTAGAAAATTAAATTCTGAAGACCTTCACGGTAGAAGGTCAGAATCAAAAAGCGACTTCCACCCATGAAAAGTATTTTATATGAAATTATGTTAAAAAATGAATCTCTATTGGAGTGGTCGAAAAAATATTGGTCAGACTATGATTTATTGAAAATTCAGAAATAGAAATCTGTAATTGAGAAAGAGATTGACTACAAAAAAAATCACGTGGTGTATGAAAATTTGACGTGGCTTCCAAATATGATTCCTCAAATAGAACCTATGAATTGCAAGTTCGAATATGTTAAAATAGAATACATTCGAGATATGGAGGAATGGAAATACTAATCTTCAATAGTACTCCTAAATTTGTTCTTATTTTCTTTTTCAACGTCCCAATATGACTACTCCAACAGTGACCTTCATCAATGTAGAGTCTCTAAAATTTTGTAATTTGACAATATTTAACCTAACCTAACTTAACCTACCTCTAGAGACTCCAGTGTTGCTTGTATGATTGGAATCATCATGGCCGTAGCTGCTGTGTTGGAAATCCACATGGATATAAACATGGTGACCGAGCAAAGTCCCACGTTCAGTCTTCTGGGGCTGCACCCCACTAAATTAATAACGTTGAGAGCAATTCTGGTGTGCAGTTTACAATGTTCAACTGCTATGGCAATAATAAGACCTCCCACTAACATCATGTTCGTTTCATTTAAATAACTGATCGAGGTTTTACTCGAATTCAGAACACCCATGAGCGGGAAAAGGACCATGGGAATAAGAGCTGTTATTGGCAAAGGAAGAGCTTCCAACACCCAGAGTCCTGAAGAAAAAAATATATTTAACGAACTGAGTATCAATATTGAAAATACGAGAGAGTTTGATAATTATTTGCTATGTGGACTTGATTGTTGAACAATTTCAACATAAATTTGTCCAATTCATTAGTTTGACTTCCATAGTCTGAAAATGTTAATCCATTTGAAATCAAGAAACTTCACACTGTATTTTCCAAAATAGACTGTCTCCTACGTCGTGGTAATTGGCTTATATAAGTCAATGCAATTCTTTGGAAGCTGGTGGAATTACTATTGAAAATACATGTCTTTCCAGAATGTAATCCAATGCGTCACATTCGCATAAAACAACACAATATCTCTGTCCTTTTCTTGCTTTTGCGCACGGTTA